GAAGATTCTTTTTAAACTAGCGGAGCCAAAAAACTAAAAATATGGAGTGGGAAATGAGCACAATGGGTCCACTTTAATGTTATTTAAGGTGCAAGACGTCAGAGCTTTGCAAATAAATACTGAAAAAAAACAAAAAACAAACAAAACAGAGAAGATTTTCAACAGTAATACTCATGAGAACCATGCCTTAGGAAGTGAAATTTAGGACGTGAATACGTTAACGAAGAGAGAACGGAGGTACAGCATCGCCCCTTTGAAGTGAAAGGCACTCATCAGCTTGATAACCTTTCGCGTCCCTACAAAAGCACAGCCACGCTCATTACTTATCAGATGTGTAGATGCTCTCACTGATAATCTTTGTTTTTTCTCCTGGGAACAAATTCAAATTCCTCCTCAGCCTGGCAAACTTCACAACCAAAATTCACAGTTTAAACAAATGAAAAACAAAACAAAACACAAACCCCAAAAACGGTGACGTCACAGCTGCTGACACTCACAAGCGAAAATCATCCCAGCATTCAAATCCTTTTCAGATAAATAAATAATTCAGTGTAGAGGCAGCGTCACTTGAATACATTTTCCTTTTCCTTGCCTAACTGAACAGAATCAGTCCTTATGAGAAGCATTCCCTCGTGACCTCCACTGTTTCTTCTGGAAGGTGAAAATGTCGTAATGCCGCCTCTTCACTCAGAAACATCAGGCAGAAAGAGCCGCTGGGAAAAACCTAAAAGGACAAAGGCTGACAGAGATTTCACACAGACATCTGAAGCTGAGTTTTCACGGCGAGAGGTGGATGATCACATCTGTGGCTCTGGGGAATCAGTTAGCCCTAAAGCGAGAGCTTCTTCTGGCGTCAGGCCGTTTTTCAGCGTCCGCCTCACTGTGAAGAGAAGACGCGGAGAGTCACCGTGCAGTCGTGTGATGTTTTCATGTTCTCCAGTTCTGCACTACGTACTAACTGAATGCATGCTCCAGGATTTATAATATACTGTAATTAACCTGCTGAGACTTACATCTGCTCTGCATGGGGTTTATTACAATCCATATCTCGGCTTTGGTAACAATCAACAAATAACAGCCATATTTACTTGGTTTTAAACAGAGAAATTAATGGTGAACATGTAATTAAGAGGCCATAAATAACCATTAAACTTATGCAGTTGAGTGCTTACATTAGAAATCTATTTTTTGACGTGAATAGGTTTTTTGAAATTGCATGTTTAAACATGCAGATGAGCTCCTAGCCATCTAAATTACCACCTCGGTATTTGCAAAGAGATGTCTAAGTATGAGATAAAGCCAAATTTCACTTTGTTGACTAATAGAAAAAATAAACTGTTTACACACGGAGGATTCTGAATATTACGTTTTATGACTTTATTTCCTATCAATGTGCTGCTAGAAAAAAATCAGGATCTGAAAGGTTCCAACACACAGGACCTGAGCTGGAAAGTCTGGTATGTAAAAACTTATATGTAAAAGCTGCTGAAGTAATGATTTCTGGCTCAGAGTATGTGGAAAACATATCTTCTACTCTGAGCACATTTAATGGAGACATTGGAGAGAAACGTGTATATTTGGCATGCAGAGTGGAGCAGCTGGGGGTTTATGAGAGCCTTTGACTCAAGCATGGGTTAGACTCCTTGATCCGAATGAGCGAATGAAATATACTCTCATTAAATATGCAACAACTTTCTGAAATTTCCAACAAATAAAATACTAAAATATACATCTAAGCAGACATTTACTAGTATGAAATAAAACATGTTTGGGAAGCAAAAAATAACTATATATATGTGTGTGTGTGTGTGTGAAAACTCGGTTTCATGTTAGACCCACCAGGCACCAGGTAGGTAATGTTTGGTTTTAGAAAGATAAGACAGATAAAACACCATGCTTGTGGTTTCAGCAGCAGGACTTTAATAACCACAGTGTGTCATTTAAGGATCTGTATAGAGTCCATCTTTTATATACAGTCTACAAACTGTACTCTACCTCATGTAGAAACAATTATGTTTTTGCCTGTAGTGACTTTAAGGTGCTTAATTTCCCTTCGCTTTCAGCTACTCTGATTGCTGTATTTAGCTTTATATTTATATGAAAGCAGTGTCATGGTTTTGAAGTGTTTTTTTTGTTTTTTTTGAAAAATCTCAAACTATATTTCACATATTTTTTCTTATGCTTGTTTCCAGATGTCTTCTTGGAGGTGTTACTCATCATCCACGGTGCAGTCTGCTTCTTAGATTAGATACATTTTCATGGTCATGCTTTCAGTTTGAAAACCTGATATATTCAGAACTTAAATTAGCGTGACATGTGCAGTTGGGACAGAGGTGAGCTCGTACATGATTTGCGGTTGGCCCTGGATCTCCTCCTCTCTCTGGGCTGGGTTCTGGTTCCTGGACCCTGAGTGGCTGACCTCACTATGCGCTCCATGATTTCGTCTGCAGCATCATCTCCACAGATCTGAGGGTCCTCCACAGGCGGAGTCCATGCCTGCATGCTGCGTCCTGCATAAACACGTGAGGAAATCTTTAGTAGGGAAATCCTTTCGAGTGACCCAACTCCAGAAATCTTCTTTCTCCCTTCCCCACCTCCTCGTCCAGGCCGTGACCTGGTCCGTGTCCGCAGTCCCGGCACGCCGCTGCCCTCCTTGTCACTGCCACTGAGGCTGGTTCTCAGCACCGCTTTCATGTGCTCGTGCTCTGCAGCATCCTCGGCATGCTCCAAACCCTGAGGCTGCTCAATTTCCTGACCCCCACTGGGGGCGCTGTTGTTGCTCCCTGCGCTACTCCGACCACACTGTTGGAGCAAGACGGAATCAAAGAGGATCAGAATTTAGCAGCTGAGTATTCTGAACTTTAACACGGCAAAGCACCAAGAAAAACATCCAACTGCAAACAGTACAGTGCCTGGTGCCTTTGACGTATCGTTTAGTCGTTTAGATGCAGTTAGTGGATTCATGCACACAAACACACACACAGTTGATACCTCACGCTCCTCTTCATCATCAGACTATGGGAGAAATAAAGAGTGAAAGTCAAAGAATAGTTGCGAATAGAATAGAATAGAATGAAGCGAGAAAGATGAAAAAGCAGCACTTCAGTTTGAAGAAGAAAACAAGAACAAAAAGGGGTTGGAAGTGTGTGCGTGTGTGTGTGTGTGTGTGTGTGTGTGTGTGTGTGTGTGTGTGTGTGTGTGTGTGTTTGAGAGAGAGAAATACTCACAGGAGTGTTTACGTCCATGATCATCTTTCCTCGGGTCTTGTTGCGCTCGCGATGGTCGGCTCGTTTCTGTTTCTGCTGCAGCACACGCTCTCGGGTGGTCCGGTACTCCAGCGCAAACTCGCTGAGGATTTTACTGAACCTGTGGACGCTGATCTCTCTCACACTGTAGGCCGGATGACCAAGGAACAGCAGGAAGGAGTGGAACCTGAAAGGAAGAAGATGAGGGTGATGGCAACTCTTCCTACCTCCTGTTTTATGTGTTGCACTACACAGATTTCCTCATTCACACAGCACAGTGTTGGTTTTAGTAGACTAATTAGTTTTGTTTGTTTTTTTTGTGGTAAACATCAATAATACATGATTCAAACTGTGAGACGAGCTACCTGTTGATGATCCTGCGGTGAACAATCTTAAGGATGATGATTCGCTCTGCGCAATCTTTGAGGAAGTCGGACATCTTCTGCTTCAGCTGGGGCTTCATCTCGTGCTTGGCAATCACCTTCAGGTGGTCCCACGAGGCTTTGCAGCGCCGCTCCATTTGACACAAGTTCTCCTGCAGCTGGTCAAAATCCACCTGTTGAAAAAAACGTTTATACAATCCAATTCAAATTACTCAAACACAGGATATCTTAGTGCCCAGGGGCGTAATTTCCAGGGAGGTTTGGGGGTTTATGGCCCCCCCAATAATCAGACCCAACCAATATAACCCCCCAATAAAATTAGGAATTATCTTGCATAAATAGGCTGTTGATTTTCTTTACTTATTTCAGTTATTACCAGCAAAATAGTTGCACGTTTAATCATCTGGGAATTTACCCAGATTTATTTATTTATTTAGACAGAGATCTTGACCTCCCCAATGTTCAGCACAAAGTTATGCCGATGTTAGTGCCCATTTACAAGATTTCTGTAAAATGATACTAAAGATTTAAAGAATGTCTATATGTGTGTTCATCTTTATGTCCTCGGCTTATATTGAATTTTATTTCAAAAATGATTCTCAGTTGTCTGGATGAACAGCCCCTCTAATGGTTTCAGGTCCATTTTAAAGTCCACTTACCATTTATATAGGTGTTCCACAGGGATCTATTCTTGGACCTCTTTTATT